TGATGAGGTCCACGCCACTGCTGGATCTTGGATCCCCACAGCCTGTCTTCCACATGCAGTCAGAAGGTTTTGTTCTGTTTTCCTTGGTTTTGTTTTGTTTGAGACAGGATCTCCTGGAGGTTGGGCTAGCCTGGAACTTGCTCTACAGCTGAAGATAACCTCAGACTTCTGATCCTCCTGCCTTCACCTCCAGACTGCTGGGATTAGACGTGCACCACCATGTCTGTTGTACGTGGTGCTGGGGGTGCTGGGGATTGAACCTGGGGCCTCCTACATGCTAGGCAAGCACTCTAGCCACTGAGCTACACCCCCAGCCCTCACTAGGACTCCTTTCGAAGTGAACAGGGGCTTCTCTTTCCTACCCTGCTCAAGCCCTTCCATGGAGCAAAACCCCTCTGTGGAGTGGCTGCCACTATCGCTCTAACCTCATCCACAACTTTCCCCTCTGTCCCTCTGTCCCTCTGTCCCTGTCAGTTGCACCTTTGCAGCTCTCTGCATCTGCACAGCGCATTCCTGACACAGGGCCCTTGCACTGGCCATGCTCTCAAGTGTTGCCATGGCCAATACACTTCAGGGAGTCCGTCTCAGCTGGTTCTGCCTAAAACAGCACTCCCCTCCTGCCCCTCTGGCCCCTTCCAGGTCTATTGTTCTTTCAATCACAAATTCCTTCCTCACATTATTCGTAAGGTTTGCGTGACTCCGGAAGGTGGGCTGTGTGAGGCACCAGGTGCCCTCCGGTGAGTGTTTCCATCTGTCTACCGTGCATAGAATGGAGCCTGGCTTGCCACCTGTGGTGTGTACTGAGTGTTTTGTTTCACACGGACTTCACTGCACAGCACTCCTACCTAGGAGAGAATCTACGGAAGGAGGGTGCAGGAACACCCACGGTGGGCAAGCACCTGTAAGCACAGGGCTGCAGCCTAGCTCAGGGCAGGGAAGACATTGGACCTGGGTCTTCTTTGCTGTCTCCCCTTCTGTTCCCATAGCATGCTATATGTTGTTTGTAGACCATTGTGGTTCTCAACCTTCCTGATGTTGTGACACTTTAAAACATGTTGTAGTGTTGTTGCTTCATAACTATAATTTTGCTACTGTTATAAAATGTAATGTAAATATCTGACATGAGACCCCTGTAAAAGGGTCATTTGACCCCAAAGGGGTCGTACTCACAGGTTGAGAACTGCTAGTGTAGTCTCAGCTTTCTCTTGGTGTGGCTTGACATTCTTCCTTCTTTCTTTCTTTCTTTCTTTCTTTCTTTCTTTCTTTCTTTCTTTC